TGCAGTGCATGAGCAAGAAGGCTTCATCGGAGCCGAGCGAAATTATGCGGTGCGAGTTCCGGGCTTCGACAGCAAGCGTGAAGTCGAGTTTAGTTAAACACAGTCGACCCTTCCGCTCGGACTTCCCTTCTGCTACCTTCGTTATACACATCATCTCAGTCTCAACTACAGCTTTGCTGGCAATCGTTTGATTTTGGCCTTTTGGTCATATTCACACTCATTTTGATCATCATGAAACCTTTCGTTTTCCTTACATTTGCTGCGTTGGGTCTCGCCCTTCCCAGCGATATAATTCGCAATGCCACTGAAGGTGTGGCCGAGCCTACATCGTCAGCCATACCCAGCAAGCCCGTGTTGATCCCTGACGACTCAGTCGTCAACAACTCAACCGAGCGGAAGCTCAACCTCGGCGTCAAAGCCATATCGCCCGCATCAAATGCGCAGACCAACACTCCTTGGTCCACACCTCTGATCGACGATTGCCCCAAGTTGTGCAGTGCTGTTGGGCCAGACCCATCTAACTGGACCCGTGTGCAACATGAGGATGATCTTGTACGATGCAAGGCCCCACTTCTCTTCGACTTCAACTTCCATATTACTGGCAACGCCAAGACGTTCCGAACTTGTGCATTTGAGGCTCCTCAATCCACTAGTACCGTCCGTCGCTACGTGCCAGTCGAGGCTCGCCAGAGCAATGGATCTATTTCAACCTTCTCGCCAGACAACGGGCCAAAGACCTGCGGAGCATCTGAGTCTACTCTTCAACTGCTTGTGTCAACCAGCCCGATAGGTGTTATATCGTCTGGGGCCAACGCCGCTGCTGCCGCCGCGAAGATGCTGGGGTCTCATCTTGCAGAAACCGCTTCATGTGGCCGTACAATCCTTTTTGCGAGGGTTGATACAGCTATTGTTGCTCTTTATGCCAGCGCCGATGTCGTGACTACTAGTGTCGCCACGTTAGTGCTTGACACCTTCGCGACGAGCGTACAGCAAGGCAGCGAGCTGGTCCAATCATGCGACGCAAACAGCCTTAACCCCTATACCATTGGGCTGTTCGCTGTCAATGGACTTGATCAACTTGGAAGAGCACAAAGGGCTATGCAGACTTGGTCCAGTGGTGGGTGTGTTAGAGACCACACCAACAGTTCAAAGTCTTTTGAAGGCGTTGGCGTGCTCGGTGCTAGCGATTTGGTCGTCCTCCCCTCCAATTACACGTCGAATTCTACCACAAAGCGCAGGGTCTCCAACTTGACGCCCAGAGCGGTCTGTACCGCTATTGAGGTCGAGAAGGATGACGGTTGTGCTTCACTGGCATCTCGATGTGGCATCAGGGGAGCAGACTTTCTCAAGTACAACACCAAGACCAATCTTTGTGCGAATTTGATTCCTGGCCAGCTTGTTTGCTGTTCATCGGGAACCCTGCCAGACAATACACCGCAGCCACAACCGAATGGCATATGTGCAACCCACAGTATCAGCTTGGGAGACCTCTGCTGGTCTATTGCCGACACCTACGGAATCAGCGAGAAGGATCTTGAGAAGTACAACGCCAACCGTTGGGGCTGGGCTGGGTGCAACAGTCTAAAACAGGACCAGATCATCTGTATTAGCAAGGGCAACATGCCGATGCCGGTACAACTTCCCGACGTGGCTTGTGGCCCCCAGAAGCTAGGCACGCAGATGCCCTCTGGCACTTATGATGGCTGGGATCTGGCCAAGTTGAATCAATGCCCGTTGAAATCTTGTTGCTCGGGATGGGGGTACTGCGGAACTACGGCCGAGTTCTGCACGGAGTCGCCTGCCGATACTGGAGCGCCTGGGGCCTTCAAGAAGGACACCAACGGGTGCATTTCCAACTGCGGGATGGAGATAACCAACAACAAGAATCCACCCGCTGAGTTCAGACGTATCGGATATTTTCAGGCGTACAACGAAGCCCGAGGATGCCTGACTATGGACGCAAGTCAGATCATGGACATCTACGAGACCTACCCGATGACACACATCCATTTTGCTTTTGCCGGTCTCACGCCTGATCTCGACGTCAAGATCGCCGACAACGTCAAAGACCAGTTCGAGAAATTTGTCTCCATGGACGCGCCTTTCAAGAAGATCATTTCTTTTGGCGGCTGGGCTGAGTCTACGGATCCCGCCACCTATCAGTTGTATCGCGACGCTGTTAGTCCGACGAATCGCGAGCGGGTCGCTAGCAATGTGCTTCGCTTTTTGGATGCGAATCCAGGACTTGACGGTGTCGATTTTGATTGGGAATATCCGGGTGCCGACGACCAGGGCATTCCTGGTAGCGATCCCGTCGATGCTATCTACTACAGTCGTTTCCTGAGCCTCATGCGAGACAAGCTTGGAAAGAATGGTCGCTCGCTCTCGATTGCCATCCCGGCTTCTTACTGGTATCTCAAGCCTTTCCCTGTGGAGGATATGGCAAAGGTGCTTGACTACTTCATCTATATGACATACGATCTCCATGGACAATGGGGTAAGTTCAAACGTTTCACCGCCTATCATCCTCTATTTCTTCTCCATTCTTGTGTTGGGACAACTTTGCTGACGATTATCTCCGCTCTGTAGACTACGGAAACAAATATGCCAACCCGGGCTGCGAGAATGGAAACTGTTTAAGATCCCACGTCAATATCACCGAGACCACGAATTCCCTTGTCATGCTTACCAAGGCTGGCGTCTCCGCTGATAAAATCATTGTTGGAGTCACCAGCTATGGTCGAAGCTTCCGCATGGCGGATAAGAGCTGTACAGGACGCAATTGCCTGTTCACAGGCTCCCGAACCGTCTCTGAAGCCGAGCCCGGCATCTGCACAGATGCCGGTGGCTACAGTGAGTGGATCCCTTCGATCTTCATCGTCGTCATCAACTGACCAGTTCTCAATAGTATCCAACGCCGAGCTTGACCAGATTTTTACCTTTGCAGAGGAGGGTGAGCCTGGGTACGAGGCCAAAAGGTGGCACGACGGACCCACGAACTCAGATATCATGACCTACGGCACTATGGGGAACGGCATGACGGACTGGGTCGCATACATGAGCGACACGACCAAGTCGACACGTTCGGATTGGATCAAAGGTCTGAACTTTGGCGGCACCACCGATTGGGCCATTGATTTGCTCAACTTCCTCGGCGCACCAGAGGGTCAAGAGGGTGGATTCACTGTCGACGGTGGGGAGAACCTGGAGTGCAACTCTGAGACTTGGCCCACGAATCTGGATGATCTCGAGAAGAACATCGACAACGTGCCGCCCCACTGCCGTTCTATGGCGTTACTTAACGTTTTGATCAGAGACCTTGAGAAGGTGATCGCCGAGTACAGGGATGTTGCAAGCTCGAGTGACTATGACGACAGGGTATGTTTTCTTTTCACCTGCTTGTCTTGATGATTTTGTTTTTTTTACTTCATAGCTGGTCATGGACGATAGCTGATTCAAGGTCTGGTAGTTCTGGTGGTATGCCGATTGGGTGAAAGACTCAATAGACGAGCGTCTTGAAGAGTTCTTGAAGATCGGCACTGGAGAAGGATTGAAGTACATGGACTGCGAGTGGAGTTCAAAGGGCAACAGCGGCGAGGGCCCTTGTACCGAAGCTCATCTGTCTTACCCTCCCGGGCCTTCGCCGGGACCTCGCACCGTCACTTTCACAATGCGCGACGAAACTGGCTTCTACGATGCTTTGGCGAGTAAGGCGGGCATACAAAGGGAGTGGATTACTTGGAGAGACATGGATGCCATCAACGACCCCTGTGTGTGCCCGCCGACACAACCAGGTATTTGCCCGGTTGACTGCACCATGAATTACTACATGAGAAAGAACTGGCCGAAGAGAGTCAGCGACAAGGACAAGATCGAGATTGAGAACCCTAAAAGTATCATTGAGGAAGCCATTCCGTCCACCGATGTTCTTGTTGGGACAATAGTCGGTACTTACATCGAAATGCGGATGGGTATTCTCGACGCTGAAGAAGCCGACGTCCTCACCGCCTTTAGCATGCCGCTCCTCATGATGCAAGACGCTTCCAATAGCATCAAGGAGATAAAGGAGATTGGCAAAGAACAGAAAGAGACGAAGACCCGCGAGCTTGTCCTCGGCATTCTCAGCATCGTGTTCGCTGTCATCCCCTTTGCTGGGCAAGCCGCGTCGGCTCTGGGCGGTGCCGCTCGCCTGGCTACCATGGCATTGATTATTGGAGAAGCAGGAAACGCCGCAATATCCATTGTCGATATTGTCAAAGATCCGAACTCGGCTCCTTTCGCCATCCTTGGCATGTTGGTTGGTGCTGCGGGCATGCGAGGTGGCAAGCCACCCCGGGAGGCATTCGCAGAGGCGGGCAAGGCTCGTCGTGCTCTGACCCCGAAGATGATGGAATCGTTCTCGCCCGAGTTTCGACGCAAGGATGGATTGGTACAAAATGTTGTCAAGACTTGCAAGGTGCGGTAAATGCAAATCGAGGTGTATGCAAACACAAATGCCCTGCAACTCAGGCCCCTGGTGACAATAGTCTGGCATATATGTAGTTCCTCTCAAGATTTTTTTTTCGGTAATACCTTGATCGCATTAGTAGCATTCATGGACTCTTCGCCTGTTTGTATAGTTTTTTCTTTCTGTAGGGACATCAAAATCCAACTTCTTTGACCAAGATGCTCAGACCGGTTTCGTGCAATAGTGTTGTCGGGTAAATCCGTTGACGCACTTACAACGCACGCAGGTTGCAACAACGAACCACAAAATCTTGATATTTTGATAAAATTTCCATATTCTCATGTATCCATCAACATCAGTGTGTAACATATACAATAATCAGATTTATGGAAGTAAGATGCCACGGCAGGGCGACAACCAAGGGAAACATCGCCTTTCTGCCGTCAGGCACCGCCTACCACTAACAAATCTGCGTATGGGTTTTCCAACAGCGAGCTGCGAACTTCATCTGCCCCCAATCATCTTACATCAAGACAACCCCAGCCGGCTCGCCATGATTGACCTGCCGGGAGAATATCTCGGCGTCGAAGAGTACGCCGAGGATCTATTGGAGTTCATCAACACCCCCTTGGTTCAGCAAATTACTGGCGGTATCCATGTCAATGATGCGCTGATTTATAACGCATGGGAGGCACTGCCTCCGGAGTGGACGTCGTGGTGGTTATCACTCCCAGATCATCGTCTGGCGCAGCAAGATTTGATCGACAGTATCGATGAATCAACAGATACTGCAACCACGAAAGTCGACGACAGACAGCTAAAGCCAATTTCAGGGCGACCAGACTCGCTGACAACTTGGTTGGAAAATATTCGGTCACTCTCGCTCCATCGTACCCAACGTGTCGGTCCCAGGATCTCCCTTCCCGAAATTTTGACAGCTCGGATGAAGACAAAAAAGATCGAGGAAGTTTCTGTTGCGACTGCCTACATCCAGGGGGTTTGCCAAGCCAACAACATCACTCGCATCATCGACATGGGATCCGGGCAAGGTTATCTGTCCGTATCGCTTGCCTATCTCTACCCTAATTTGCACGTATTAGCGATAGATGGCAGCGAATTTCAGATTGCTGCTTCGAGATCGTGCGCTGCCAGTCTTGGAATCGAGGACAGGATACAACACTTGCTGCGTTACATCGATGGCACTGGACCGCTGGCAAGTGAGATCGCTGCTTGGGCTGGAGAAGAGAAATGCATGCTCGTCGGTTTGCACGCCTGCGGGAACTTGTCTGAGCACATGCTGAGATACTTCACAACAATACCCTTCATCCAGTGTTTAGGTGCAGTGGGCTGCTGCTACAACCACATTGTGCCCCTTTCTGACAGCTGCCCCAACGGCTTCCCGATTAGCGCAAAAATGAGGGACAGAAAGCTCACCTTGAGCGCCACAGCCCTTATGACCGGATGTCAAGCACCAAACAACTGGGAGAAGGCGGATCCGAGCAAGGAAGAGTCGGTATACTCAAAACGACGCTTTTATCGAGCGCTTCTAGAGAAGGTGTTCTTCGACAAGAGCATTGGACTCGACAAGCAAGTTCGACCGGTTTGGGGAGTGCGAAAAGGCGACATGGCCAGCTTTACAAAGTTTGCGCGCCGAGCAATGCATTGTCTAGGCATTGATAAAAGCGATATCAGCGATGCTGAATTGCTCGAATATGAGGCTCGTTATGGAGATTGCGAAGGCAAAGTAGCGATTTTGTGGACACTGAGCGTGCTTTGCTGCAAGGTTGTTGAGAGCGTAATTGCCCTTGATCGGTACTGGTTTCTCGCCGAGAATGGAGCGCAGAACGTGGACGTTTTACCCATCTTCGACTACAAGATTTCACCAAGAAATCTGATGCTTGTAGCTGATAAGGGGGGTGAATAGTTTGGCGCATCGAGTTGGTAGCCTCGGATACCCGGTTGGCTTGGTCAAGATTTTCTTCGCCACGTGAACCACTTATGAAGACTGTAGGTTCAAGTCCAAAGAGGACCAATGAACCCTAGCTGAATTTTAGCAAACGATCTCCGCATCAGATAGACCTACTTAAATCTGCAGTCTACTGGACACACTCTCCTTCAACCACGCCCAACCCACACCGTCTTCCACACGTTTAACGTACCGAAAACATAACCAAACAGTATACATCCTTCACGTCCATGTATATTCGCATCTGAAAAATGGCCGGCAAAGCTTCAAGAAAGTCACCAAAGGCCTGCAAGCCTAATACTCAGTCAAATTCATCTGCACTGAAGCAGCTCACGACTTCGGCTGTTCGTGATGACCCTGCTCTAGGCTACAAGATACGCGTCCTCTTGTTCGACTTGCGAAACCTTGCAAAGGATGTCAAGTCAGCGACACGTCTCAACAGCACCACAGACGAGCACTACATCAGCGAACCATATTTTGAACCTGAGCAAGCCAAACTTGTCAAGTCTGCTATCGTAGATGTCGACTTTAACAACCACCTCGACCCCAAGGCAGAGCATGAGGAACCAGTCACAGATGAGCCACAGCCCAATCGCAGAGAAGTCTGCAGGTCTTCAGCCTCTCGCGTACGAGGTCAAACGGTAGACGCAGCTATTCGGATGATCATGGATAACTTCCTCGAGAAGCGAAAGAGCAGTGGAGATGTGCGCCCTTGTGGACCACATGATTTGGTGCCCGTGTATCTTGGTCTTTTTGGCATAACAGTAGCTGACTTACAAGACCACAAATTCATAAGCCGTCTATCGCGATCAGGGGTATGAGTACATGGACGTAGCACGTTTGAGACATCCACTTCCAGAGACAGCAGAATTCTCCTAGCTATTCGGGCAAACGAGTAGAAATAACACGGATAGAAGGGACGACAGGGACGACAAGGACGACAAGGACGACAAGGACAAACAGGACGACAAGGACAAACAGGACGACAAGGAAGAGAGGCACGAATGCTAATAAGTAAACAAGAGCAACAAGAAGGTCAGCATAAATGCAAAAGAAATAGCCTTGGAGGCCCGTTTGCGGCTAGAGCTCACAACCAATAGAATCATATCGTTCTAAGACAAGATGAAAACATCCGCATTACAGCATCAATCATCATTCTTCAAAATTGCCTTGGTCATATCTGTGGTCTCTCCATAGTTGCTGACGAAGTCCTCTGTCGCAATATGCCCACGCACCTTCCATTGAAGTCTACACCAGATTAGGCTACAGAGACTTATCCAAGATACTGCCGCCCGTAGCCGACTTTCCTGGAAAGCTTTAGTCAGCCCACATGGGCAAATATCGCTCAGGCATGGATGACTCGAGCATCCCTGATCCCGCCGAAGGCGACTTCACCAAATTCAACGCGGCTATCATCGTCCTCGTAGGTCTTCTTGAGAAGGCTGGGCCCGGAGCGCTGGACAAGGCCGTCGAGTCGGCCAAAACGAAGATCCCCGACTACATGAGAAGATTCAAAATCACAAACGGCTTCAGATTCCTCGTCTTCGCCAATGATTTGTTAAAGTGGCAGCCGGAGGAAGACGCGCAGAGCAAGGACATTTACGACATCCTCTGTATGTTTTACTTCATCCTCGACCAGGAGCCGCTCCTTGTGCTGCAAACGCGAATCACACCGGAGTCAGTCTGTCTACCTCAGAGTCCGCTCTCCAGTTGGATAGTCATGTTCTCGCAGCTCATTGGGCAGTTCTTGGACACTCCCATGTCCGTCACCCCTCGGACCCTGGAGTCCTTCAAAAACTCGCCAAAGTACGAATACCACGAAGCCATAGAGCCTGAAGGGGGGTTCCGTACCTTCAACGACTTTTTCTCTCGCAAGCTGAAGCCGGGAATGAGGCCTATCTCTCACCCGGATGACGACAAGGTTATTTGCTATCCTGCCGACTGCACTTACGACAACAGCATCGAAAATCAGAGCATTGTCGCCGTCAACAACATGGGAGAGGTCTTAATCAAGGGTATTCCATGGACCATAGATGATCTGCTACATGGCAGCAAATATGCGAGTGAGTTCCATGGCGGGGTCTGGATGCATGCATTCCTCAACACGTACAACTATCACCGCCAGCATGCGCCTGTCTCTGGGGTTGTGCTGGAGGCGAAGAACATCCAAGGGGCGGCTTACATGGAGGTCAACGACAAGTGCCAACCCAACCGAAAGATCTCGGTCTCTGATGGAGACAAGAAGCAAGACTCTACGTGCGTGCTGGAGGTACCCGACTCTCCGGGCTACCAGTTCCTCCAAACCAGGGGTTGCGTCATCATCGACAACCCGGTGCTCGGGAAAGTGGCCGTACTGCCGATTGGTATGGCCATTGTATCGGGTGTCAGGTTGACAATAAGAGCAGGGGATACAGTGAGGAAGGGCGACGAGATCTCAACGTTCTTATTCGGGGGGTCGGACGTCATCCTCGTGTTCCAGAAAAAGGCAGGCTTGCAGGTCAATGATTTTGTGCCCTCGCCAATGGATGAAGCCGGCAACCAGACTCATTCAAAGTACGGGACTATTCTTGCGAGGGCGCCTTGACGGCTTTCAAGTAGCTTGGACTAATGCCAGTCACCATTTTCGAAGGACTATACTCCCTGAGTTGGGGCATGAAATCAAAGATGTCCATGTCACAAGTTAAATTTTCCAATGAGGCTAGAAACATTACAATTTTCACTATACTGCGCTTCATTTCTCCTCGTCTTGCTGCCGTGCTCGAGGGTAATCATCAATCTCACTCCCAGGAATAACCTCAATAATCCTCTGTCCTCGCCCCCTGCGCATCTCCCTAATCTCGTAGGCTCGATCTGCCCTTGTTCGGAAGCCTTGCCATCCACCTCTGCTGTGCTCACGACGATGCCCAGAGTTGTAACGGTGCTTTCCGACTGTAGCAGCGTCACTCCTCGGATGGCTCATTCTATGCTCGCTGAAGACCGGGCTCGTATCTCTTCCCCTTCCTGAACCGCGCCTCGTTGTTCGGCTGTTATCGTCGCTGCTTTGACCAGAGGAGGAGGACGAAGACTCTTCGTACCTCGGCTGCGGCGTCCTCCTCTTGGCTGGTACCGAGGAACCCCAACTCATCCTCCTTCTCGCGCCTCCACCCCCGCCACCGTCTCCAGGCCGTCTCGTACCCCTATCACTCCCCTGTCCATGTACATCACCAAGATACATCTGCCTGACCATCATTCTCGTGTACGTGACCTCCCTCTCTGTCCTCCTCGCCATGACTCTCATGACCTCGTCTCCTAACTTCTTCACAGAATCCTTCACTTGCCACCAAATAAAGCGATGCGCAAAATCACACTTGTACAACGCGCTCCAGTCCGCAAAACTCCCCATCTCTCCGTGCTTCTCAAAGTCGCTGCGGACCTTTTCGTCGAGGTCATTCTCGCCCCACGAGGCCCCATTGTGAATCGCCTCGGCTCGGTGCCCGCTCGCCACCAAGAATGGCCGTTCTAGCTCCTTGAACGTTCTCCAGAGGTCGCGGAGCGTCATGTAATGTAACGGCAATGTCTTCTCTGCATACTCCAGCGCTCTGCGTGCCTCGGCGTTGGCGTTCTTTTCCCCGATGTGAGAAATCTTCTGTCGTAATTTGCTTTTGGCCCTGATTTCTTTCGTTTGGTGACGCAGCGCCTCGCGTTCTTCGCATAGTTGTTGTCGAAGGTTGCCCAGCGAGTCGCGGATCTCGCTGGGCGCAGCGCGGATTGTGGCGACGAAGTTGGCGTACAATGCGATCAAGTTGAGCGTCGTCAGGGCAAAGCCCAGGATCCCTGTCACGAATGACAGCCAGTTCAGAGAGTTCGGGACGTCGGCGGCCATGTTGTGCTCGCGAGGGCTTCTGTGGCTTCTTCTTGCATGCTCGCGATTTCATTTAGCTGAAGGGCCGTGCTTAGATCTTAAGAAGATTGAGCATCCTTCATTTGGTATTCCTGTGTAAGTCTTTCACGTGGTGTTTAGCGTCTCTCATCAGCGCTACTTGGACTTGGTTCGAACGAGTGCAGAAAAAGGTGTAGCGTTGCCAGTTGTCATGGACCTCAAGACTCCCGAAGACTTAGACAACTAACGCCCTGCAGCCTTGGAGCTGGTTGTGTAGTCGAGGTGGGCTCTAGTCCTATGGCCGATGCAGGATAACATTAAGACCGGAGGGACTAAGGAATTAGTCGCGTCAACTCGACCAACATACAACAGTGATTCGACTACCTAGATGGTTCGTCAGATATTGCAAGGATAGGCTTGCAAGATCCATCTCAATTAGAGGCCAGCTGATGGCGTTGCATCTTTCGTGGATACGACGGATGCAGGAGTTTACTTCGTCTTCGTCATTTAAGCTCACACAGACCTGCAGGATAAGGCACCAATGTGATTATGCAATCCTTCGAGCGGCTTGGGAGGAACTGAGATGTTAGTGCTGAGTCGCCTTGAATCTGGTGATGGATGACGATCACGAAAGTCGTCTCATGTTGAGGCTTCTCGAATACAGTTGGCAGTAGAAGAGGCGCATGAGCTGCCTGGCCCTTTTGAGGGTGTATCAATCACTCGTGCAGACGTTTCCCTGTGTTCGCTGACAAATTGACATCTCGAAAAGAGCGTGGAATAATGACAACCTCGTGGACACCATCTTGAAGTTGTGTTGCTCGACGTTGCGATGCTGGACGAATGACACTGCAACACTTGCGGCCCTGGAAGCAGCAGGAGATGGAGCTCGTCCCCCACCACCCGCCCATACCAGGATTAGCTCCAGCACTCTTATCGATAAGCCCTGACGTCTCCGACCGTGGGGTAACGCATTCTCTCTCCAATCCAAAAATTTCCCATAGCCAAACCTCCAAATCTGACTACCTAGTTACGCATCGCGACGAGGGGAGTCACACCTCCCAACCAGCACCAACCGCAAAAATGCCCGCCCCAACAGCGACAATGTCCCCCGGGACGCCCGAGCCCATCGACGCCGACGCCGACCCCGTCATCGCCTCCTACGACGTCTTCTTCAACCCTTCCCTCCCGCAGGGCCGCAAGCTCTGGGTCCTGCAGCAACCCAACCGCACCGACCCGCGCCAGGCCACGCCCACCGAGATGCGCCTCAAGACCCGCTCCGGTATGGTCGAGGTCGACGTGCCTCTCGACTACACCCAGTCCTATGACAAGGAGAAGGGAATGAAGTGGGGTCGGCAGCTCAAGGCGAGTCTCGAGGCCAAGAACGGCGGCACACACGGCCTCTCTGGAGGTTTCGGTGTCGGCGCGCCGCCGCCCCGGCCCAAGAGGCGCGGCGAGATCGATTTGGAGGATGAGATGTACCTCGAGTGGCCCGAGGCTGTGCGCCAGGACAAGGTGCTGCGCACGCAGACTCTGGGTGGACAGTGTCCCGATCATAAGGAGGTGCAGTACATGATTGGCGTCTTCCAGGCCAGTAAGTGTTTGCCTCTCCCAGGCTGAATGAAGACATCCTGACGAAAATAATAGAGGACCTCCACCTCACACCCGTAACAAACCTCGTTCACCTCCGGCCCCAACTGCACCACGTCGATGCAGTGGCCCAACAAGAGCGCAACGCCTCCGCCGCAGCCGCCGCCAAGGAGAACGCCGCCGCAGCACCGGCGGCGGGAGCATCGGGCGCAGGAGGCCAGGGCGCTGCAGCAGCGCGCGCGATTCACATGACGATCAAGACGACCCCCGACGGCGCGGCGGCCAAGAACGAGACGATGGCCGACCGTCTGCGCTCCGTTCAGATCGAGCCCTGGCGCAAGCTCAAGTACACGGACGAGAACGACGAGGCCGCGTGGGAAATTTACCAGGAGTCCCTCATTCTCCGCGCCCCTGGCGACAACAAGCCGCCGGCGGCTGAAGAGGATGAGGAGAAGAAGAAGGCGGCCATCGAGGCGGGTGAGATGGAGACGAAGCCCACCGTTGATCTGGCGGAGTCTATGGCTAGACTGGAGACCACATGGGGCGATGATGAACTGCTGGAAGCTGTCAGTGGTATTAAGAAGCCCAAGCCGATATCACAGGCAGAGCAGGATGCCGAGGCGGCTGCTGCGGCTGCCGCAGAGGAAGAGGCACGAAAGATGAAGCCCAAAGCTCGTGGTGCTGTCGGTTCAAGACGGGGTGGCAAGGCTAGAGCTGCGCCTGCTCAGGCGTCATCGAGCATGGATTTGACATAAAGTAATGCTAACAAGCATTTTGATTTGCATAGCTTAGGCGTTGCGGCATGTTGTAGACAAAACGGCTCAGGGATGGATTATTACTTTAAATGCAGATTTTGTTTGCTCTAACTAGCAAGGCTGGTCTCGACGCACCGCTAATAATACTTTCGCGGCGTCATCTCACAGAGTCGTGTGTAATGTACACGAGATATGTTTTGTGCATATAGCCATGGGATAGCCCCCTCCGCAAGTCCAAGTCTCCATCAAGCTGTAGCCCCCGTACCACAACTTCCCAGTGATCTCGATGCCCTCAAAAAATACGGGCCAAGCGTCGAGTAAGGCTAACAGCATCCCAAGCTTCCAACGCATCAATAAACAAGTGTAGCGTCCCAAGCATGTGTGATGGCGCAGTCCGCGCCGTGATCGTCCCATCATTCGCACTAAATCTCGTCTTACTGAAGCAATTCAACATCCAAACCAATGGAGTGCATAAACAGGTTGACCGTAGCCAACCGGGTCGTTGCCATGGCGCCCGGAAGGGTCTTCGCGTGGGCAACGGTGTCCAGAACACGATCCTTGACAGCAAGAACTAGGCGCTGCTGCTGCTCAGGGTTGGCACTGACACCCACGGCGGCAAGAAGCTGCCAGACGACAACATCCTCTCCGGTGTTGACGCTACCAGGGAAGATGTGATGGAGGGTCGGCTCCAGGATGTTGAAGAAGAGGTTGAAGGTTTGCTCCCTGCGAGTGTGTTAGCTGATGTCATTAATTTCGATCTAGATATGCTTACCATTCGGCCCAAAGCTGAGGGGTGCCTCCACCGCCTTGCTTGAGAAGCTCTGCACGACTCAGAATGAGAGTCAACATTGAGCAGCCCACGCGGGTTCTGGCAATGAGGTCGATGTTCAGCTTGGTAATCAGTCCGAGGACACCTGTGACGATGTCGAGCTCGGTCTCGTTGAAGTAGGCAAAGAGGCTGGGCATGACAGCCGCGGAGAAGAGTTCGATGCTCTCACGCATGGCAGCGTTGAGGTTAACCTCACCATCCGTCATTTGGGCACCGCGAACAACATCGAGCTGATCCAAGTGGAGGATTACCATCGTGAGGATAGTGGTGCGCTGCTCGAAGCTGATGTGTCTGAAGACACGAGGGATGGCCTTCTTACCCTTGGGGAACGACAGGAAGGCAATGAAGGGGTGAATGGTGGTAGCACCAATGGGCTCGTGAACCTTGAGGTCTGCCCACAGCTGGCCGTTGAGAGTCTGAGCTACCTCGAGCCATTCCTGATGCTTCGCGTGAAATTCCTCGTCATTGCCATTGGTGGGCGGGGGAGGGATGTGGCGAGCGTGGTCCTCCATCTTCATGACTGTGGTGTAAACACTCTCAATGTTCTTCAAGAT